ACTAAGATGGTGTATTAAAATTAAAACTTCATTTCATTCATTTAGATTTCTATTATATATAAACAATGGATATATGCACATTTTCAATCTATTAACATTTTTTTCATTCATTTTACATCATTCCCATAACAATCACTCCCAACAACATTATTTTAATCATATCAGGAACTCTTATTTTCATCCCATCATTAGGTTTTACATCTTCTTCTTCTTCTCCTCCTTTATCTGTCTCTTTGTTTGAATCAGTAGTACATTTGGTAGGTTTGCACTTGCGCATCGAAGTCAACGTCACTGTCGACGTCACTGTCGATGTACTCGTTGTCGTACTCGTATGCAATGACGTACTCGTCACCCATGTATCTGTCGTCTGTATCATTGTACACTCTTCTGTTACTTTTCCTCCACTTCCCTGCTTGGTTGTCGTAGTAGTCGTGGTAGTAGTCGTGGTACTGGTCGTTGTAGTGGTCGTTGTAGTGGTCGTCGTAATGGTTGAGGTTTCTTTTTGTGTCTCTGTATGATGAGGCTTAATTTCTAATGGTTTTATTCCTCCGCATAACTCGTCTATTTTTTCGCAAGCTTGTTTAGATTCCTGACATTCCTCTCTAAAACCGCAATCTAGTTGTAAAGCGCTGCATTCCTCTTTCAATTCCAAATACAATTCCAATGCTATTGTCGTTGCATCAAATGCTTTTACCTCTACTTCTGATACTCCTCCATCTACATACGCTCTTTTAACGAGTCCAAGTTTTGCAGAGCCCGTCGTTCCACTGCTTGGTATTCCTGATCCTTTATCTGGTGTGCCTGATCCTCCATCTGGTGTCCCTGATCCTCCACCTGGCATGTCCGCCTTTCCATCAGTTGATGGCCCTGATGCTGGTGGTGACCCTGATCCTGATGGCCCTGCTGGTGCTTGTGGTGGTGGTGGTACTAGTGTAGAATCACTGCCATTCTGCGCATTTGGCGGTTTGTCTTGTTTAGGCCTTGATAGCAATAATTTAGCTGTCTCCGTAGAATCTTCTGCCGCCTTTTTGAGCTTATCGTATTCATTCTTGTTCTTTTCTAATTCCTCTTTTGCTTTATCCAGATCGGCTTTTAAAGTAGGACATCTCTTTTTTACTTTATCAACTAATTTTTTGCAAACATTTTGCTTCTTATCTTCTCCACATTCACCAAGAAGAATTTTGAATGTTTGATTCTTTTTCAACTCAGTACAACTCTCTCCTAATTTTTTTTTACAATCATCATCTTTGCTTAAACTGCCTTTCAACAGATGACTCAGCTCCTCCTCTAATTTCAACTTTTTAAAGGTATCACTGCATTTTTCTTCGAGTGCTTCGCAGTTCTCATCTTTGTTATTTTCTTTCAACTGCTCCGGACAATTCTTCACAAGTTGGTGACAATGTCGGCCCCATGTTGTGCAGAGTTCTTCAAGTGCTGTTTCATCTTTATTTGCTCCTCCAATTTTTCCTACAATTCCTTCATTCTTGATGTTTTCTTTTAAATATTTACAATCTTGACTTGTGTGGAATACCATATAACTACATGTTTCTTCTGGTAAAGCACATGAAACACTAAATGAATTCTTTCTCCTCCTATATAAAGTATTACATTTCTCATGCAATACCTTTGTACAGTTTCCCTGAGTCATTAACGAATCATCCTTTTTTTCTAAAAATACTTTTCTAAATCCCTCTGTAACCTTAAAGTATTCACAGCGTCTTTTCAATGTTATACACTTTTCTAAATTCAATAATGAATCACTACTAAGTTCATCACACTTCTCCACCAATTCAAGACAATCCTTTTCTAATGGAAAATCCCTTTGATCATCCAAAAGCGAACTTAACTCTTTGGATTGAAGAAAAATATCATTTGAAAGCGCATAACATAATTCTTTAGGATAAAGACATTTTGAAAGGTATCTACTATCTTCTTTAAGTTTTGTACAGTTTCCTACCACAGATTTTTTGCATTCTTCAGGATCGCTATAAAATCTTACAAGACCAAGATTTCCCCTCAATTCCTTTTGAAAGAACTTATTCAACATCCTGTCTTGTCCCTTTTTATAGCACGCTGCTCTTGCATTTTGACATGCTTGATCAATCTTATTCGTACACGCCTTTTCTAAATAGAAACATTCCGACTCAAGTTCTGCACACTCTCCTTTTATAAAAAAGGTTGGAAGCTGTCCCCACGATAAAGGATCTGATTCTTGATCATCATATTCCGTAGACAATCCTTTCAGATAAAGTTTTAATTTGAGATTTGTACATCTTTCTTCTACATTTAGTAATTCTTCGCATTTGGCGTTTTTAGTAGTTTCATTTTTACATAACTCTTTAAAATTATGATCCAAATACTTAGAAGTTTCACATTTTTTTAACGCTTTATCGCATTTACTTTTTGCATCCGTCTTATCCTCATCTCTGCTCAACAGTAGCAAGAGATCTTGCAGAAATTTTGTACCTGACTTCCTTGGTAGATCCACTCCTGATTTTCCAATAATAATTCCTTCTTTTTCAGCCTTTTTATACACATCATCCAACCCAATACTTCTCAACAACGACGCCTTCGGCTTGACAGGACTAAAATCAGATTCCGGCGCTTTATATGTGAATCCTTTTTCCTTGCATTGCTTCATATCCTCATCACACTTTGTTTCAGTACACGCTTCTTTGTAAAAATGACATTTCTCAAGTCTTTCATGACATTTTTCCTTTAATTCGCCATCTTTAAGCTTTTCTTTTAAAGGCAGGCAAACTTCTTCTGATTTTGTTTTCAGCGCTTTACACGTTCCATCCGAATCAAGGCAGAAAAACATCAGCTCGTCACTTTCTCGGCTTAACATTGGGCAAACAGTTTTCATCTTTTCTTTACATTTAGCTTCATCTTTAGCATCCCCTCCGAGCGCCCTCAAAAGGAGCTCCTCTGCCACCTTTTTACGCTTCAATTTGTAACATCCTTCCCTCAACTTGACACAGTTCTTCTTAATATCTTCACTATAACCCGTGTCTTCTAAAAGTATACATTTTTCTTCATGTTTTTCACAATTTTCATCTTTTATGTCTTTCAATGCTTCTTGAAGTTCATCATCAAAATTTTCTAATTCATCTTCAACTTTGTCTTTCAGGTCTTTGCATTTTTTATCTCGTTTTGCTTCATCACCACCACCACAAAGTTCTTTAACTTTATCATTAACATTGAATTTACCATCTGCTTCCTTCAACTCTTCACAATATTTCTTGAGTTCTTGTTTGCATTTATCCTCATTACTATATTCCTTCTTCGCAATGAAAGCCAAAAGGTGTTCCTCCTTAATGTCATCTTGTGCTCCTTGTACTACTTGTGCTTGCCTCTTAACCGGCCGTGCCATTGCCACCTATTTGGGGGGAGTTTAGTGGGTAGTTTCTAAATTGAATATGGGTAGAGTGAAAAGTTAGTTGTTTTGAAATGATTTTTTTACGACAAACTTGGACTCGTTCTTATCATAAAC